ACTTCGAGGATCCAATGCAAATCTAAAAGCCATCTCACACAATTCTCTAGCGACTAGCGTCTAGTGCAAAATCACTCGCAAAACTTTCGCAACACGCAATACAATCATGTCGTAGCGATAAGGATTAAATGCGTCTGTCGTACGGACGTCGTCCCATAAAATCCAATCATATTATGGTTATTCTTTTGAACTTTGGTTACTATAGATGTTACATTAAAGATAGTACAAACGCATGATAGCATCACACTAATATGACACTAATAACTAAATATCAATGTAAGTATTATAAAACCAATGCAATAAGACACACAGCTGAATACACTGCTTGCACCTAATTTTTTTTAATGGAAGATAAGGTGATGAAACGAACATGCGGTTAACCTAACTCTACAGTGGCGGTAATCACTTACCATAAGGTATATCCTTCCGGACATACCATTGGTGGGAGCCGACTCCACAAAAAAGTCATGCAAGGAAGGAAACTTTTTTTATATAGAATAGGGTGACAAACGAGCACGCAGTCTCAATTATACACAGATACCTTATGGGAAGTGGTTGCTGTGGCCCATAAACATCTAGATCTATCCTCAGATATAAATAAAAACGCCGATGCGTTGTCACCCGTGAGGACTAAGATGGAATACCTCGTTTCCAGCAGAAAGGTTCTCTGGTTCTCTACACTCACCGTACGATACATAGCAGTGTTAGGCTGCTATTTTACGCCGGTATTCTATGAGAGCGTGGTCCTTCCCTGGTCAAGCCGACCCATCCGTGCTGTGGCACGCATAGTTATAACTATACTACTAATATAGCTGCAGCATGGCTCTACCACGTATAAAAACTTCTGATAAATCGCACAATAGTGTACCACTAAACTTCCAAATCTGTGTTAATGGAAATGAACGGCAATTATTAATCCTAACAATCCCTCTGCGCACACCGCTTGTTAAATGTGAAGAAAATGCATGGGGATGCAACATTTCTTTGCAGCACCATCTAATAGAGCTGGTTACCATAGAGCCGTTGGGTGCGGTCAAGTGGAAGGAGCTGACACTGGGATAACATGGCCCAAAGAACAGTATTCCATGAGTTTGTGAGCACCTTTTAAAGCCACTCAACGACACCACACAACAAGCCATTTCGTAATTTCTAAAACTATATAAAGCACGCTGCTCGCTTTAACGAGAATGTCAGTCCTAGCTTTAATAAGATACTTGAAAGCAAACTCAATACTTCTTAGAATTTTGATTACTTATATAAATCACTCTCGACTGTGCGGAGTATCGAATGAGAATAGAAATATAATTTAACGATGCATTCCAGAGAAAGCCATGCAATAAAATTATTTATGGGAGCTTTGCATACGAAAAAAAGAAAATAATTTTCACAAAAGCAAAGAACATCACGTGAATGGAGCAAACCAATATGTTTTAAATATACAATAATTTTAGGTTCGATAATTAATTATACACCAATGCATTTTTCCCATTTATTATTATACTAAACATACCTATTTAACTAGATATACAAAAAATATAAAATGAATGTGATTTAAAACGTGGTAAAAAATAATAACTTAAAATAATTCACTTGTTTTTACTCTTTAAAATGATAAAGTCCTCATTCATAGATGACTTAGTATACAGAAATCATTAATCAAATTATGCTGTGGAACTGATTACGATATAAGTGCTGATTTATTACGTGTAGAGTCTTGAAGAAAAACATCATGACAGGTAAGCTATTAGAAATGAAAAAAAAAATCATGAACTTGTTGTGAAGTTCACCTCCATACATTTAGACAGTACGGCGGACTCTTTGGTGCTCAAAATCCTCTCATACAAAAAAGGAGGCCTATACCTGGCGGTGAAATGCATATTAGTTATAATGCTACTTTAATTACAATACTTTAATTAGATATAAAAAGTACTTATAATATTTCATCTTATACCTATAAAATTTAATGCAATTTACTGCGAAATTATTATTAAAGTTTATATATTCTCAGATACCAACAAATTAAAATTACGACTCGGGTCTTAACATTTGGTCATAAAAATCGCTACAAAGTTTTCATCGACATAACATGTTCACAATAATGAAAGAAAATATTTTCAGACCATTATATATATAGTACCTGGACATAAAACACCTATATATTTATTCAAGCTGTTAATTGGTCAAGTTTTTTTAGGATTCCGTATTATATTCCGTATATATAAATTACCTGAACTATCGGCGTCCTGAAGCTTGGAACAGGGTGGCAGGAAACAAACTTCAGGATGCCGATAGTATAGGTAATTTCTTTTTACAGTGAAAATAATGGTAATTTAAAAAAATAAAAAACATAAGCCCAGCTTTATAGTTAGTTCAGTTAGTATGCAAAGTTTCATGATCTTGTTTATAGTATTTTATGAATAACAACGGTTTATTTTTCAGTTTGGAGGTAACTTTGGATATTTTTCTATTGAGAAAATTTTACGGAATCATGTTTTCGTCTAACTCAGTACTTAACATTAATCCTCAATTTTACAATATATTTATTTCAAAATTAATGCTGCAATATTTTCGCCATAACAAAGGATCTTGCTAAGCCATTTGAGGTTATATTTTTCCTTAATCAGCGAGCACATATTGAATTTAGCACTAAAATTTAGTTTTACAAATGAAGTAGAGTTCGTAATTTCTCTAGTATAGATCATTGCATTACAAAGTTATACATTATAAAAATATACATAGGTATATTATAATATATTACAGTACAAGGACTTAAACAGTTTTATTAAAATAATCGAAATAAATGTGTATTATTCGCATATAAAAAACACACTATTAAAAATTTTCATATTTTAAATTTAACCTTGTTTAAGCAGACTTTAAATTTTTAATGTATCAAGAAGTATTAATGTTATAGAAATTAAGCATTAATTCCATAATATTTTATAAATAACACAGTCAATGTTGTACAGTAAGTTATCGCTTAGTTCTGATCTGCCGTCATAGAGACTCGAAGCGGGCAATGTCCTGGAAACTGTGTTAGGATGCTTAGATTTGTATATAACCTAAGGTAAGCAGACTAGAGTTCACAATAAATCGGGAACCTCAATATGCATGAATACATAAATTCGAGTATTTACATGCAAGAGGTGAGGCAGATAATAACGACTGCTATTGGAATAATAATAACAATGGCAAAATACTGTTGATGTATTTACATACTGTAACTGTCTACCGGAAGTTGACTTCGATGTTCAATGTATTTATTTATTTATGCCGAAATCTTCATTTTATGAGCACATGATTAATTAGCACTCAAAACAAGTGTGATCAACAAGTTCGATTCGAACCCATTCCCTAAACTACAACGAGTTAATAAAAAAAGTGAAATTATTATCAATTAAGATATTTTTAATTTTTATACGTATTTTCACATTAATAGTTTTTAGTTAAATGCTCTCAATAGGAGAGACAGGAAACGATCGAAGAAAATGGCATATCAGGCTTTAATGAGCATTAAATATGTATAAAATACAAACACCACTTCAATATAAAGATTTTGTACCTAATTTCGATTTGAATATATTTATTGATAGAAATTGTAACCAAAACCTCCACAATAATAAATATTGCGAAGATATTTTATACGGAAAAACAAAAAGGCAAATTAACGTCGAATTTATCTGGGATAGGCGGTTTACGAGCAACATCCAGTTCTAGACCAGTCTGAAAACGGTTTCTCTGGTACACGTCTCAGCTCTATGCTTCCGGGAACATTCTAACTATATTTCTTGAAATAGTATATTTTGCTAAAACTGTTTATTGGAATGAAATATATTTAGTTTGTATATACACAATATTAACATTAAATAGTAAAACATAGTTTATGTATTTTTACCACTTATTATTATTATTTTATAGAATAAGGGTGTCAACTAGTACTGATAAAATGTCTGATTACCAGTAAAAAGGGATACGGTTTTATACAATGACTGTAAAGAGCAGCATTAAGTTGCTATTTTGCGCTTGTACTCTGCGAGAGCATGATTATTCCCCTATTGTGACAAGCCATTCGTGCTGAAACCATAAATTATAGCTATAACTGCTGGCTTGACGACGTTAAATATTATGACACCTCATGGTGTTGTGCTTTGTTTAGTGCACCTTATTGTTTTACAGACGAGGCTCTGACCATTGACTGACGGCGAAAAATCGATCCAAAAATATTAAACTGAAATTCCACAGGTATGACCATAAATACACACTTTTACTACACGTAACAGCACGAGTGTTTTAGCTCTAACCTCATTTTCAGCCTGCTTAGTGTGGAAGTCTAAAAATAATCAAACTTTGCAACAGCGTACTTTACAAAAGCTAACAATGCAGTATACTTTATAGCTAGTAGATGAGAAGATAATAAATATAATTATCCCTTAATAACTCGTAAGAAATTATTTCATGTTGTTGTAATGATACGTAGACAAAGGATGAGCGTCTTCCATTTATTCGGGTTCATTTCCAGATTCCAAGCTGTAAATTATATTTTGAAAAGATAAACTTCCTATAAATAATTATTTTTCGATTTGTGTTCGAATTCGTTCAGAATCTCACAATCGGAGACAATCTTACATTAAAATAAAATATTTATTTTATACCATACTATTGACCGTGTGGGAAGGTTTAAGAGAATTTATTCACTATATCGACACGTGGGTGTCGCAAAAGGTGACTAAGGTAGACAAACCAGGTGATGAGCAACAGCGTCTGCCTAATAACAATAACAATAACAAAATAAAAAATATTGCTGTTACCAATACGCCTTTCAAGCGAGGTTAGTATGGCAAAGAGGCCTTTCCATTAATTAGGCAATTAATGGAAAGGCCTATTCAGACGTAAGCTTTGATAGGTTTAATAAATACCATACTATATGTGTTAATATTAAATTTATGTGCGAATTCAAAAATACAACATCCCAGATCAGGTAAATTAAAAACTATTTGATTTTAAAACGTTTTTATTTTATGGCAAAATGCAGTAGCGAGGGCGTGAGTTAGCCTAGGATGCAGTCGCAGTGCAGTGCGATCAACTCGAGCCCGTTGTCCATACCTCACGCACTCTGCCACCACCGTCGTGTTGCACGACTCCTGGTAATACAAAAATGTGATACGGTTATACAACAATTGTAACAAACGTGATTTATATTATAATTACGAAAAAAACATAATACAGATTTTTACTGCATTTTGCTTAAATTTAATGTAATGTAATGTTATTAAAACGATGTAAAATAATCCAAAAAATTAATATATATTTTTATTTCAAGTAAATCAATCAATAAAATAATCCGCCTTGATGAAAATAAATTAACACTCTACTCTCTACTACTCTTTTATTTTTACTTCTAATTCGACATAATTGCAAACTCAATAAATATACAATATTAGTGATTTTATAAAAAGATTTAACATAATACAAAGTAATAAAGTCAAATATTTCTATAATAATACAAAGCAAATTATTTGTTAAATCGACCATTTACGTACCTTATAATGATTGAGCTGCACTTCGCTAAATGGGGCCGACCATCCGCCGAAACCTTTCATTCCAAGGTTTGTTAAAGGTTAGTGATTAAATGCAGTTAATACCCTTCTTGTTAGCATCATACTTTTACTATAATAACCAACGGGACTCACTAACGCTGAACGAATAATATTTTGTGATAATTTGGGAATAGGAATTTTCCTTTACTACACTTAATTCCGTAATTGTTTAAATTTTCTTTATCTAAATTATCTAAATCAGTCATACTTAAACTATTAGAATCATCTTCTAATTCTATTTTTTCTACATCGATTTTGATCGCTTCGTTAATTCGTACATTATCTCGTTTGACATAGATCTTACTCTTGTTAGAACCATTTTTAAAGAATTTATATTTATGCACACCTTGCATAAAATCAAAAAAGAAAACATTTTGAACTAAAATTGCTGAATATTCTTTTGGATTCCAACCAAATTTTCTTAAACGTCTCAGCAATTCGGATAAATTAAAAGCTATTTTTGGCAGCAGTATTTCATCTACATCTAACGGTACAATATACTCTGATTCTGCTAAATTTCTGTATAAGCAATCATTATAACTTATTAAATGATCCCTTCTTCTTTGCCATAGGGATCTTTCAAATGTATATTTAATAGGAACGTGAAATAATCTAACATACCCTTGATCTTTATATCTTAATAGGACATTTTGGGTCTCCTCGCTTATTTCATCAATTTTTACGTCAATAAGGTCAACGCCTAGTATCTTGTTGGTTTCAATCCATTCTATTAGGTTTTGCGCCATATTTTTGTTGAAATTCATATCTTTAACGCATATTGTAAATGTTCGTTTGTATTCGGTTAATTTCTTAGTGGGTGTTAATACAAATGCATTAACAGAATCTTCGCAGGGTTCAGTAACGATAGACACTACAGACAAGTTATATAGACTATCTGTTAATGGACAGGAAAGTAAAAGTGGTGTTTCCACTGTACTTGAAGCAGCATCCCATTCGTGCCACCATATTTCTAAAGGTTTTGCTGCAACTACTTCAATTGAGTCTTCACTAGAGTTAAAAGGACGTGTTTGACAATATAATGGTTCCCCAGCTGAAATGTTACGACCTGCGAATAAAATAAAATCCAAATTTATTTTAAATATTATGATTATAGTACAATCTTTAGGACCACTTTGTTTTATCACCATCATCATCATTACAGCCATTTACGATTCTACTACTGAATATAGCACTGTCCTGAACCACCTGCATCATCGCCTTCCTGCAGCTCTTACTAGGTCGTCGCTTCAATTAGAGGGAGGTAAAATAATGACATTGTGTGGAATACCTAACCTAACTTAGCCATTATTTGTAGTATAATGTAACGTTACAGCTTTTGTACATCTCATTATTGGACACAGAACTTCTTACATTTTTTCGTTTTAAAAATGTTTCCCTCACACTAATATATTATCCTGTATCGTAAAGGTAGTTTACTGTTAAATATTGTGTTGCGGGGAATACGAGTGAAACGCGCTGTGGCTGGTGACACACTGAATATATTTCAAATAGCGGTCGCATCTTGCATACATAACATTCCTCCCCTAATATTTAAGACTAATAAAATATTTTATAATTAATTTTTGGACGCTGACGAAGCACCCTGCTATGTGCCGGAACCTCGTCTTGGTTACTCTCTTCGGCCTCATAGAACTCGTCATTGTCGTCGTAATAAACGGGTCTTCGGACTCCTCTTATTATCGTCACCTTTGACGGCGTCTGGTCATACTCGGTGGCAGTAGGAGTGTGTGATGACGCAGATTGTTCATTGCCCCCATCTCTCCCCGAACCGTCGTGGAGCATTCTCTCAGATGGCACGGGTGATGGCACGGGTGATGGCACGGGTGATGGCACGGATGATGGCACGGATGATGGCACGGGTGATGGCACGGGTGATGGCACGGGTAATGGCAGGGGGCGGGTGATGGACGGGTGACGGCACGGGTGATGGCACGGGTGATAGCACTTCTGGTGGCAAGTGTGGCGCAGACGTCAGCGGGTACGGCTCCGACACAGGTGATTGCGGAAGAGACCGTGGAGGTGGTGGCAATGGTGTGACGTCATTTCTTTCTATTATGACTGGGTCTTCTATATCGCAAGAGTGATGCCAACGTTGCTTATTATAAAGGTCCCTACTGAAATTGATGTTTGTTTTAATAATTTGATCTACATGCTTTCGAACTAGGTTTAAAGTTACATCATTTTGTACAAGAAACAACGTGTTACGAGTACCAATTTTTTTCATAATTGTTCCTGTAGCCCATGAAAACTTATTATTATTACAATATTTTTTATATAATACAGACACTCCTGTTGAAAACGATTTTTTTTATTTTACCACCATAAGATTTAACCTGCGTACACTGTTTAGACTTTACGTTATTGACAAGTTCTGTAGACGAGGGGGTCGGCTGTATTGGATTAATTAGGTCTAACCGCGATCTTAATTTGTGCCCAAAAACTAGGTGAGCTGGTGATGAACCTCTGGTAGAATGAATCGAATTACGATAATTGAAAAGATATTGTAGAGTACTTATTTTAAATTCTCTTGAATTTTTACTTGTTGCGAGACTAGATTTAATACCCTTTTTGACAATTTTCACATAGCTCTCGGCTTGACCGTTACTAGCCGGATGATAATATGACGGCGACTTCACATGTTTTATACCATTTAAATTGTATAATCTATAAATATTCTTCGGAACAAAATGATGTGCCATTATCAGAAACCAAGGTGTGAGGTATTCCGAGCCTAGACACAAACTCGAGCATTTTGTCTATTACCGCACTAGAAGTAGTTGTGGTACACATATCGAATCCCGACCTCGACCCATTTCGAGTAGGCATCGACTATGACCAGATACATGCGGCCGTTTATCGGACCCAGCAGATCCCGGTGTATCCTGTAGAATGGTCGGGGAGGTAACTGCCACGGTGACATAGGTATCCACGGCGGTAATGCTCGCAACTGTAAACAAACTACGCAGGCCCCAATCATCTTTTCCAGCTCGTCATCAATCCCCGGAAACCAAAACCGTGATCGAGCCTCAGCTTTGGTTTTTACAATGCCGAAGTGAGAACTGTGCAATTCCGATAAAACAAGTTGCCTCAAGGAAAAGGGGATCACCACCTTATGGCCTCGAAGTACACACCCGTTTTCATATGATAGGTGAAACGTACATTGATAATACGGATTAATTTCTGTATCTTTAACCCGCTTTAGCCAACCCTTTTGTATGTAATGAATAACCTTAGTCAGGGTCGCGTCATTAGCCGTAGCCTGCCGAAGCTGGTCTGCTGTCACGGGAAAACTACCTTGCGTCACAAAACACACACAGGCTGCCATATCCAGCTCTTTCTTGTGCCCCGACTCTTCGACAGGGTCCTCAACACTTGCTCGCGAAAGGAAGTCCGCGCTATTATTACAAGTAGGCACATATTCTATTACATAATTTTAAGCACTTAGGAACAGTGCGTACCTTTGCAATCTGTTTGCGGATACCTCCGGGATGCCTTTATGTGAACCAAAAATTGACAATAACGGTCTGTGGTCCGTACGTAATGTGAATGGAGTCGACCTGCCGTATAGGTATTGATGATACCGACGCACGCCGAATATTATCGCAGTTGCCTCCTTTTGTATCTGAGAATATCTTTTCTCGGCGCTATTTAAGGTACGAGACGCATAAGATATCGGCCTTTCTAATCCGTCATCGTCGATTTGCGATAATTTCGCGCCTAAGCCATTTGGTGACGGTTGACGTTAGATAGAGTTTTGCATTTTGATTAAAATGAACTAATGTCCGTTCCGAAATCAATAATTTTTTTAATCTTATTGAAAGTTTTCTCGTGTAATTTACTCCAATTCCATTTTCTGCCCTTTTTTAACAAATCGTACAAAGGAGATAAAATTTTTGAGGCGCCCGAGACGAAACTTCTGTAGTAGTTTACTATTCCTAAGAAGGATTGCAGCTGTGAAACGTTCGTAGGCACGGGTGCCTCTATGATTGCCTTAACCTTTTTTGGCGATTTTTTTTAGTCCGTTCTTAGTAATTACTACCCAAATATTTTATTTCATCCTTGAAAAATTTGCACTTGTCTTTGTTTAAGTGCAACGCCGATCCATGGGGTACGCGCATTGGAACACCGCCGGAGCTGACGCCAAACCGAACACGAGCCTCGTGTATACGTATAGGCCGCGGTGTGTGTTTATACATGTTATTTTTTGAGATTCGTTTAAACAAAATTGGTTGTAAGCCATTGATAAATATAACTTTGTGAAATGTTTATCACCGTACAATTTTGAAAATAACTCGTTAATTGTCGGTAAGGGGTATTGCTCTACGACGTTGTTTATTAATGGTAACTGAATAATTGGCGCATATCCGCACGGTGCCGTCTCGCTTTAAAACTGGAACGATGGGAGACGCATATTCCGAATATTATACGGGACGGAGTACTCCCATTTCCACCATTTTATCGATTTCTTTGTCGACCTTTTCCCTCAAAGCGAAAGCCATAGGACGGGCTTTAAAAAAAACATGGACGGGCATCTTCTTTTAAAGTCAGGGTTACTTTGTAATTATTAAAACACCCTAGTTTACCTGAAAAAGTTTCGGGAATACCGTAAATGTAATGAGTCAATTTCATTTTGAATTTATTGACAGTAATTACCGGTGTCAGTTGTAATCTAAACAAAGAAATAAAGTCCCTTCATATTAACGGCGGCCCCCCGCCCCGCACTACGAACAGGCGCAGCGGCCGCGTGCTGCCTCCGAACCGCACCGACACGGTTGCGACGCCCGTGCAGGCACTCTACCGGTATAGCTCATTAACCTTTTATCGGTAGCTGACAATGGCACGTCGTTAAAATGAGTTTTTATGTTTTTTTCAGAAATTACCGTTACTGCTGACCCACTATCTATTTCGAACCTTAAATTTACCCCATTAACAGATACGGCTACTACCATAGGTTCACTTTTAAGCGATCGAATATTAAATAACTCACCGTCGTCCTCTTCGCATACATCGCCTGCCAACACATAATTCACTTTTGTGCACATCCTACGTAAATGCCCTTTAACTTTACACTTTTTATAGGTATAGTCGGCATAGCGACAGTCGGCCGTATTGACTATCCACACACTGCACACTTCACCTTTTCCCCTTCTCTCTCCTTAATTTTGAAGAGCTGTTGCTCGCCGTTGCGCGGCGGCGCCGACGCCAGCGCTGCTCGCGGCGTCGCGCGCGTTGCGCGCGCGGCGCATACTTTCATTTATATCAACCGCATTCACTAAGTTCAAAGTCGTGAAATCTTGTGCGTATATGCGTTCCTTTTCAACTCCCGGCAGCATCCCCATAATAAAACGATCAGGTAGCGCCTCCTCCACGTTCGAAAACTGACAGTTAGCGGTAAGTCCACGTAATCTCGCGGCCCACTGCGGCGGTGTTTCGCCATGTAGTTGGGTAGCAGTATAAAACTTATGACGCTCTCCAAACCCAACCTGTTTGGGGATGAAATGCGCATCCAGCAATCCCAAAATGTCTTCATAGGGCACTGTTTGTAGCTCTTTTGGAAGGGCCAAGTCCGACGCTAACTTATATGAGCCCTCGGTGAGTGCGCTCAGCAAGAACGCTCGCCTCTTGATTCCCGCTGGATCATTAACTATATCAATGTCGTTCGCTATGAACCACTGTGTAAGTCTGTTCTTGTAAGTTTTCCAAGACTGTACACTATGATCGAAAACAGACATAATACCGAAATTTCCTATCGACATTTTTTTTTAATACGAAGGTAAGCTCGTCGCCACTGTTAAATGTTGTGTTGCGGGGCATACGAGGGAAACGCGCTGTGGCTGGTGACACACTGAATATATTTTAAATAGCGGTCGCATCTTGCATACATAACATTTACATACATAATAAACGTTATTTATTATTATTATTATACATAAAATGTACGAGCACAAAATCCAGGCTCGGAACAAATATTATCATTTTTATTTTTTTAGCTTTTTCTTCTCCAAAGTATTAAAAGACATGTAAGGACGAAGAAATTTTGTATGGTAAGTGTAGAGAACAGGATACCCTTTTTACTGGTAATGTGGCATTTTATCTAAGTCAGTCCTGTGAAAGGCTGTAATCATCATTACAGCCTTTCACAGGACCACTGCTGATCATAGGCGGTAATATTTAAGGTAATTAAGATGCAATAATATTTTTTATAGGAATAAGGAAGAAAGGATAAGGAGCACACAGTCCACCTGATGGTAGGTGTATGCCGAGGATTAAGATGGAGTGTCTCTT